ATGAGGTTGAATATTCAACGTCTTTTTTCTCAAACACACCCAGCCCAGGCGTTCCCGCCTTCCTCCACCGGTTGCTCCTCCCTTTCCCCCCACCTCCACAAGCCCAGGCCGAGGTCCTGCCTCTTCAAGTCTAGACTCAAAATCAGAGGTGGGCGAGACTCCCCTGTAATGGACCAGACACAGCAAAACACTTTAGACTTTACAGTTTGTTGCAACAACTCAACTCTGCTTTTGTAGTACAAAACCCACCACAGACAATATAAACATGAGCAGCTGTGGCTGTATTCTACTAACTTAATTTATGGACACCAAAATTTGAATTTCATGGATATTTCCCATGAAATATCATGAAGCATTCTCTTTTTACCTGTTTGGGTTTTTTTTTTCTTTTACTTTAAAGAATTCTTCTTTTGAGGGGCTGGAGAAATAGCACAGCGGGTAGGGCGTCTGCCTTGCACGCGGCTGAGACCTGGGTTCGATTCCCAGCATTCCACATGGTCCCCTGAGCACTACCAGGAGTAATTCCTGAGTGCAGAGCCAGGAGTAACCCATGTGCATCGCCAGGTGTGACCCAAAAAGAAAAAAAAAAAGAATTCTTCTTTTGGATCTTTAAAATTATTCTGAAAGTACAAACTTCTATAGCTTGTAGGCTGCACAAAAACCAATATGTGATGTGATTTGGTCCTTGCCAGGCAGTATGCAAACCCCTGCTCTAGAACAAGGCCAAGTCCTCCCTGAAATCCCTCCCCTCTTTGTTGCTAATTTGAGTGATAGTTTTCCTCTTTTATTTATTTTTGGGCAGTGAGAGGTGTTTGGGTCACACCCGAGGTGCTCAGGGCTTACTCCTGGCTTTGTGCTCAGAGATCTCTCTTGGACTTGGGGAGGGGGAGATTTTTTTCCTCTTAACTTTTGTGGGGGGAGGGGAGAAGGAGGATTCTCAGGCAGTGCTCAATGGCACCACTGGTATTCTCTGCCAACCAGACTGGTGCTTTGATACACGACTACGAGAGCCTGAGAGTGTGATGCTGTGTGATGCCTGGTGGTGCTGGGGATTAGCTGGGCTGCCATGATAGTACTGGGAGACCAAGACCATTCCTGGCTGTGCTGGGGGTCTCCAGGGCTGCATTCAAAGAATGTCTCTTAACTTTTAAAGTAATGGGGCTGGAGCAATAGCACGGCAGGTAGGGCGTTTGCCTTGCATGCGGCTGACCCGGGTTCAATTCCCAACATCCCATATGGTCCCCTGAGCACTGCCAAGGGTAATACCTGAGTGCAGAGCCAGGAGTAAACCCCTGTGCGTTGCCGGGTGTGACCCAAAAAGCAAAAAAATTAATAAAAACAAAGTAATTATAATCCTTCTATAACTTATACCACATTTTAGGGGTTTTTGGATTTTACTTTTACATATTTGTTTTGTAAAAACAAGCCTGGCAAGCTGCTCGTGGTGTATCTGATATGCCACAAACAATAACAAGTCTCACAATGGAGACGTTACTAGTGCCCGCTCCAGCAAATTTGATGAACGACAGGAGGACAGTGCTACAGTGCAGTTTTGTATCTATACTTTTCCTACGTATTTCTTAATTTTCCTGTGCATTTCTCACGTTTAAGCTGCTTGAAGTATGGTAGAGAACCATATTTCTCTTCTTATTATCTCCCCATTGTCTTGTGCTCTGCCCAGGGTGAGCATTCAGACAGCAAATAGACATTTAAATACTGGGTGGTTGCCAAGAATTTCCACTGTGCAAAGCTTACTTTTCTCGAGAGACAGTACCTCCAATGCAGTGTGCTTGCTCTGTGGGTCATCTTGATTAGATGTAAGAGAGAGATTTTTGAGAGCTTCATAGAGATGTCGGAGGAATGTGGCCAATGGCAGTTCTTTTAGGGGCTGTTGGATAACAGATACTCGGACAAAGAATGTCAGTCATCACTAACCTGCAATATACATGAGTCCGCAAGCTGGGACCTCGTCAACGTTTCTATAAGTAATTTGGTCAGACAGAGGTAAAGGTAAAGGCAAAGGCCCTCCCGTTGTTCGTCGATTTGCTCAAGCGGGCCCAGTAACGTCTCCATTAGAGACTTTGTTGTTACTGTGTTTGGCATATCGAATACGTCACGGGGAGCTTGCCAGGCTCTGCCGTGCGGGCGAGATACTCTCAGTAGCTTGCCGGGCTCTCCGAGAGGGGCGGAGGAATCGAACTCGGGTCGACCATGTTGGCTGCGTGCAAGGCAAATGCCCTACCGCTGTGCTATTGCTCCAGCCCCAGGTCAGACAGAGAAAACATGCTATATCCATTAACATAGGATAAAGTTAAGTAGAGGAGTTGTGTAACGAATAACAAGATTCAGACACGAAAAATTTCAGCCCCACCACTTATCCTCTCTGTGCCTCTCCTAATCTTTAAAATGGGAACAATCAGAGAAAGTTCCAACTTCAGAGGTATTATAGTTCAGGATGAAATAAAGAAACATGTAGAAAACCCGGCAGAAAGGGACTAATCGAGTAGTGAACTAGTGCTTTTGTTTGCTTGCTTATTGGCTAGGACAGAACTATGGGCAAAATTCATGAAGTAAGGCTTAGCAGATAGAATCAATTCTATTCTAGCTCAAAATATTAATTGTACAAGTTTGTGATTGAGAAGGTCTAGAATGATGGCAATTTATGGAAAAAGAAACCTGAAAAATACCCTCTTCCCCAAGCCGAGCCTTCTGAATGGAAGGAGACCCAGTAGACCCCAGGCTGTCATCCAACTGGCTGCGAGAGTTCAGGGGCAAGGGGGAATGTCCCAGAGAAGTGGGGAGAGGCGGGCTGGGGACAAGAGCCATGGCTTCCCAGCTGATCTCACCTCTTCAGGCTTCTCTTTGCTTCTCTGAATAGCAGAGAACAGTCATGCTTATCTCATGGTTCCCATGACTAAGGAAAAACTCAGAGCGGTGTTCGGTGTTCGGCACATCAGCGCTGTTCCATAAAATATAGTTCCTCCCTCCCATACCTTACAGATCAAAGAAACAGTCTTGCCCTTTGAAGGACTTATAAAGTTGGGTCCAAGTGCCCACCGAGGGGGACAAAGTGGCTTTTTACACTGGGAATTCATGTGCTTCATTTAGTGAATTAACTGAATTCCCTTCAAGAGAATTAACGAATAGGTGGAATGTGGCCAAACAAGAAATACTAGGAGGGTGGGAAAGGGAGGTCTCGACAGAACACAGTAAAAAATAAATAAAACAAGTCTTAGATGTGTAGCCTGGAGATTTCTCTCTTTCATGGGAGGGAGAGGAGAGGAACCGCCTGCAAACACGGTAGGGAGAGGGACTCTGTCACCACACACAGGGTAGACTTGCAGCCAGGAGAGAAGTATCCAGCACAGATACAGACTGAATTGGAAGAGTGACTTTCCTATCAAGGAGGCGACCCCACAATGGAACGGGCTGCTTCTGCAGGTGGGGAGCCCTTCTCACTGCAGGGTTTCCTTCCCGCCTAAATGCTTCTAATGGTTTCTTTCCACAATCTTTTGCTTTCTTTTCCATTGATCTCATCCTCCATTCCTTATCGAATAGTTCATCTCTTCCCCTCCCCCACCTTTTTTTTCCCCCTTTTTGGGTCATATCCGGCGATGCACAGGGGTTACTCCTGGCTCATGCACCCAGGAATTATTCCTTGTGGTGCTTGGGGGACCATACGGATGCTGGGACTCGAACTCGGGTCAGCCGCGTGCAAGACAAATGCCCTACCCGCTGTGCTATCGCTCCAGTCCCTCATCACTTCCCTTTTGTCCCACGTATTCTTCTTTACTTGGCTCTGTCAGTTTCTAGATCCTATTTCACTTGGCACTCCCTTCTGCTAAGCATTCTCTTGGTCCAGTGACTGCAGCTCCTCTGTGAGCCGTGGGTGGTTCACGGAGCAGAATATCATTGAGATTGGAGCCAAGATGGCTGCACACACTGGCAGGGAGTGGAACGGAAGCAAATGGGTCACTGCGAAGGCATGGCAGTGGGGGGAAGGGGAGGGGGCTAAGGGAAAAGAATGCAGAAGATTCGCCTGAAGCCTTGGTTAGATCCCCAGCACCTCTTGGGGTCCTCCAAATCCCACCTGGAGTGATCCTGAGTGCAGAGCCAAGAGTCAGCCCTGAGCATCACCAGGTATAAGCACCCTCCCCCCCCCCCCCCAAAGAATAATGACCAAGAGTGGCCTCCTGAGTCCTCTTCCTCTGCTTTGCTTGGTATCAGAGGCCATTCTCGCCAGTAAAGCTGGCTATACTGCTAGATAATAGGGAATAGCTACGGGAGCTAGAAGGGGATTCAGAATGAGCTCAGCTCATGGGAAGCACTTTTGAAGGGACTGTGCTCAGCGTGGCTTTCCCGTTCAGCTGTTTGGATGCCCAGGAACAAGGGACTTCTCCACAACCTAGGTGTGCTGCATGCAAACCAAGTGCCCTACCTGCTGTGCTCTTGCTCCAGCCCACGAACAGGTTGAGGACTCAGAGGCACAGCAGGGGATGGGAGTGGGTGGGGTGGGGGGCAGTCCCTAGCCCAGCATCATGCTGCTTGTCAGAGGCTACACCAGCATTCGAGGTCCAGCTCCTTGGGCCGGGCCCAGGGGTGCTAGGAGGTCATTAGTGCCACACTGGACATGCTCTGGAGGCCCCTGGTGCCAGCGCCTGTGCATACCAGGCATGTTTTCTTGCCCTTGGAGCTCTCTGCCTGTTCGCTTATCCCTTTACTCTATCTGCCGGGTCCCCTGAGCTCACCCCTGGTTCCACCTCTTCTCATTCTTCTCCCCATTTCCACTCCTGTAGCTTCCTTCCTGCCTCTTGGAGCGTGCCCTTCCAGATCCCTGCTCCCCACTTCACCCCCCATTTCACCTCTTCTCGTTCCCTCTCTCCATTTCCACTTCCTTCTTCCCTATTGGAGCTTGTCCTCCCGCATGCCTGAGTGGACTGTGCCAGGGCATGGCCCGGCTGCTGTGTCCCCTCCCCCAGGGGCCCTGCTCCACGCCATACCGTGAGCCGGGGGCTGCTGCTGGACGTTGGGGCTCTTGGGTACCGGCAGGCCACCAGACATAGCCGTGACGATGGCTTGCTGATGTGGCGATGGGCCAGACCGAGTCTCTGGCGCACTCTTCTCCCCGGCCACCGCCTCCTTCCAGTCATCGGGAGGATACTGCTGGGGCTGCGGGGGGACAGGACACAGGGGATCACCATGGGCCACCTCGACATTCCTGAGACTCATCCAGGCTTGGGCAGGCCCGCAGAGACTGAAGGATTTAGCCAGCCCTGGGTTTGAGAGAGGCCACCTCCCCCCTTTTTAAAAATTTTTATTTATTTATTTATTTATTTATTTTTGCGTTTTGGGTCACACCCAGCGATGCACAGGGGTTACCTCTGGCTCATGCACTCAGGAATTACTCCTGGCGGTGCTCGGGGGACCATATGGGATGCTGGGAATCGAACCCGGGTTGGCCGTGTGCAAGGCAAACGCCTTACCCGCTGTGCTATTGTTCTAGCCCCCCTACCTTTTTTTTTTTTCTTGGAATACCCAGGGAGCACTTGAGCCCTTAGCCACCAGGGAGCATGGCCAGATGTGCCCGGGATCTGGCCAGAGCTCTGCCTGTCCCTCTGGTTCCCTGCCCCGCGCCGTGGGCTCACTCACCACTGGTGAAGCGGGCTGGAGTTGCAAGATGACAGCCGAGGCGTGCTGGAACCTGCGCGGTGGGGCGTGGGGCAGGACTTCAGGGTATCCATTGTGAGGCCCGGCGTCAGGGCTGGGCGGGTGGCCCTGCTGCGCACTGCTGGGCTTGTGCAAACTGGCAGCGGGGCCCTGGAGAGGCAGTGTGGGGGTCACGGGGCCTAGCGGCATGGCCTGGGCCTCGGAGCCCGGCTGCAGGGTCAAGCTGGACGGGCCCGGAGGGAGCTGGGGGTGGGCCTGGGCCTGGAGAGATGGCCGGGTCGGCGGTGGCGGCGGCTGCGGTGGCTGCTGTTGGATCACAAACTGGGGCTGCAGGTGCTTGGAGGCCGGTGGTGGGAGGAGCTGATGAGGCTGGAGTTGGGTGTAGGCTGGAGGGGAGAGGCCAAGTCAGTTGGCATGGCTTGACGTGAGTCCCCCTCTCTGTGGCCCCCACTCCCATCGCCCCCCACAGAGCAGCCCCCCTCAGCCGCCCCCGCCACTGCGTCTTGCTTTCATCTTCCCCTGGAGCCTGGCTTGGTTATTTCCATGGGCGCACCCTTCTCTGTTCTCTCGCTTTCCTCCTCTGCTGAGACCCTGCGCCTGGGGGTGGCCTCTCAAAACACAAGGCAAAACCCATCTTCTTCTCTTCTCTTTGTTCACTCCAGCTGCTCAGAGAGACACCCGACGCTCCTCGGCACCTTTGCTCCTTCCTCCACACCATGCAGGCCTACCCTGGCCTTTCTCTCTGCCTGCCATGTGTCCACGGGCCCTCCCTGCCCCTGCCCAGCTCTGTCTGGCTAGTGCTTTATTTCAGCTCTGTCTGGCTGGTGCTTTATTTCTTGGTGGGGTGGGAGGGTAGTGGGGGCCATGTGGTGCTCAGAGATCCCAGGGGCCCCGCCTGGAAATTCCCAGTCAACGAGGAAGTTCAATTCAAGTCTGGAGCCCCAGGGTTTAGAGCTGCTTAGGTCCTGCAATGCAGAGAGCCACCAGAGTCCTCCCAACAGGGCCCAGGGACACTCAGACGTCACACCCAGGGGATCTCCGGGGTTACCCCCCCCCCCCCTTAGTACTTAGGAGTCCTGTGGTTCCAGGGTTTGAGCTTGGATGCAGGTGCCCAAGTGGCCCTGAGTACTGAGCCATTTCCCCAGCCCCCCTCCTGGTCTTCTCAGACCACCTCTGCCAGCAAGAGCTGGTCATGCTGTGGACTCCAGAATCGGCAGCAGACTGAGAGCCGCCGCTTTCTACAGGGCCGTGGCTGTGCTGCTTAACCTCTCCAGGCCTCACACTGCCGCATCTAAAACCTGGAAATAAGAACTGCTCCCAGCCTGAAAGCGGATGTGGTGGTGAGCCGAGGAAAAGCCCGTGTGTCGAATGACAGAAGTGACGTGACTGGCGTGGCGGGGCATGCAGCTGTGTGCGGTCCTTCAGGCCGGGTTTAGGTTCTTGGAGCATCTTGATTATTGCGGTCAGACTGCCGTGTGTCACTCTGGGGTGCTAATTGGTTTTTTTTTTCTTTTTGGGTCACACTCAGTGAAGCACAGGGGTTACTCCTGGCTCTGCACTCAGAAATTACTTCTAGCGGTGCTCAGGGGACATATGGGATGCTGGGAATCAAACCAGGTCGGCAGCGTGCAAGGCAAACGCCCTATCTGCTGTGCTATCACTCCAGCCCCAAGGGGTGCTAATTGTTTCTTAGCTATCTTCCCTTCCAGATCAAGTGGTCAGAAACCAACCCGGAGCCTTTCCTTGATGCAGAACGTCATGTGGCGGCTGTGGGGAGATGGTGGCCACATTCATGAACTCACTGTCCTGAACTGGCTGTGCCTGACCCCACCTGTGGCTGACCTTCCTTTTTCCCTTGGAGCCAGGCAGATTCCTGAAGGGGGTTTGGGGGGCAGGGGGGCGTCTACACTCTCAGTGAGTCCTTCGATGTTGAGCACAAGCCTTGTGGTTAGTCAGGATTCAGGAAATTCAGCTGAGGGAGTAGCTGTTCTCCAGCTGCTCGCTCTGTCCCGTTCTCCTCCAGAGACCTCAACCGCTGGGCGCTGTGGACAGTGGCAATGACCTGGGGAGCCACGGACAATGGCTGTGTTCTGCAGTGGGGCCGGGAGGCCATGGCCTGAAGGCCAGATATGATGTTCTAAAAGCAAGTTTCCCAGCCAAGAAGGATAAAGGCAAATTCTGGGTTCTGAGCTAACATTTTATGGGCCAGAGAGATAGTACAGTGGGTAAGGAGCTTGGCTTGTATGCAAAACCCCTGCGTGGGTCCTGGCACCTGATGATCTCCTGAAACTCACCAGGTCCTGAGCACAGAGTCAGAAATAGTCCCTGAGTCTTAGGGACATAGCCTAAAAATATGAGCATCTTGCTTGTGAGACCTCCAGGCATACACGAGTGAGCAGATTTCATACTGAGTGAGGGCAGGAATTTTCATGCAAGTCTCCCACGAGCTTATCATGGTGCCGTGGGGAGTTCCAGGCAAAAGACCAATAGGAATGGGAAAGAGAGGATGACAGAGAGAAGCGAGAAGGAAAAACAAAGGGGTCCCTGGCAAAGAACAGTCGGCAGAGAAGTGGGACTGTGGGTGTCCCCAGGGTCCAGTTCGGACGGCAGTGAGGGATGGACGAGGGAAACGTGAAGGGTGAGAGGAATTGGGGGCGGAGGTGAGGGTGGACCTGTCAGAGGGTATTGATCAGTTGGCACTGCCCCTGACCCCAACCTAAGCCCAGACTAAGACCTTACAGGGCAGTTCAAAACAACCACCTGGCAAGGATGGATAACCAAGCGAACTTCACGGTTGACATTTTTGCTCATTTGTTTTCCTTTTCCTTTTTCTTGTTTTTGGGGGTGGTGGTGGTGAGGGTGCTGGGGTCTACAGGACACTTGGCGGTCCTCTCGGGGTGGGAAGGGGGAAACTAATGACCCCAGGAATAGATTTCCAAGGCTCACGTATGATCTATCTCTCTCTCTCTTTTTTTTTTTTTTGCTTCTGGCTCGTACCCAGAAGTGCTCAGGGTCTACTCCCAGCTCAGTGCTGCCACGGATCCTAACGGTGCCCAGGAGCTCAAACCAGGGGCTCCTACATACTAAGCACGTACTCTGCCCATCGAGCTGTTTCTCCGGTCCCACAACTGGGAGTTTTACGTTGCTCAGGCATCTGGAGGGATTTGACAGATGCTATGTAGTTCCCCGCTGAAGAGAGCCTCAGAAGGACAGACACAATCACTGCCAAGTGAAGGAGGACATCTCTTTCTTGTTACTGAATCATGAAATCCTGCCCAGGCATAGTTTTCCTGGGGGCTTCCCTCCCCTGCTGAAGGTGGGCCATGGAGTGGTCTTGGGGCCCAGAGGAGTCAGGGCACTGCCCTGTGCTTGTCTGGGGTCCTGCTGCCTGAGCCTCATTCTCAGCCTTTGGAGTTTTATCTGGGAGACAGCACGGTTGGAATAGATTAACCATTTGACAGGGGTGACTATCCCTAGGAAAATAACACAAAATTCAGGACTTACAAAGTGGAAAAAGGAGTTTAGCAAGGAAAACTATCCTAAATCCCTAGGGTCTATAATAATTAGGGAAAGTCCTTCGGAACTCCACCATTGGATTTACACTTCCCCCACCTCGCCCTACTTGATAAACCCAAGACCATTATTTTAGAATCAACGATGTTAGTATATGCTTGGGCTGGGCACAAAGCCCGTGGAAGCTTAAAGTTCTTAGATCAGTCTCCAAGGCATTTGTGGGAGTGTATACACATCCTTACCCGTGACATCTTATTATGACATCTTATTATCTCATTCCTACTTTTGACAAACTGGCAGGCTACCGAATGTAGCCTGCCCACACGGCAGAGTCTGGCAAACTCCCTGTGGCGTACCCAATATGCCAAATACCAGTAACAATGATGGGTCTCATTCTCCTAAAGAGCCTTGAATATAATCTCAGGGCTAGGGTGAAGGAGACGTTACTGGGGCCTGCTCGAGGCAATCGATGAATAACAGGATGATTTGTGATTTGTGATTTTGTGACCCTTTTAAGACTAAAGAAAAGGAGATCATGATTTTTCAGCATTGCCCTGGGCCCGGTATCCTTAAACAACTACAGTAACTTTCTCATTGGTATTTCTGAGTCCCATTTCTTATCTCTAACCCACCTTGGAGAGGTATTGCAAATTCATCTTCCACCAATGAAAAAACTAAAACTGGGCTGGAGAGATTGTGCAGTGGGTAGGGTGCTTGTCTTGTATACAGCTGACCTGGCTTTGATCCCTCATCCCCTACAAGACAGGAGTGATCTCTGAACACCAGGAATAAGCCCAGAGCACCACCAGGTATGCCTCTCCCTCCAACAAAAACCTAACAAACGAAAAACCTCTTTCTGACATAAACTATCCTTTGCGTTTCTATTCCTTTAACCCAAGCCATCTTCCCCGTAGAGACTGTCTGGGGGCCTAGCAGCAGCCCTGCCTGCTTCCCTGACCCACACCGGCCTCTTCTTTCCTCCCAGCTTTTCTGAGCTCCCTCACAGCATTGCCTCTTCAGATGCAGTGTCCAGTGGTGAAGGGTGCGCTCCAGAGAACAAGCCAGCATCTGGATGCGAGTGCCGCCCCTGACCAGCAGCCTGGTGTAGGGCCAGGGGCTGCCCCTGGTGACTCTGAGTCATTGTCTTAAAAACTGGCAGTGGACTGGAGAGAGAACACAGCAGGTAGGGAGTTTGCACATGGTCAGCTTGGGTTCGATTTCTGGCACCCCACACTGGTCTCCTGAGCCCCACCAGGAGTGATCCCTGAGTGCAGAGCCAGGAATAAGCCCTGAGCATAGCCAGGCGTGGCCCCAAAACAAGCAATAGCACTGCACTGTAGCACTGTCCTCCCATTGTTCATTGATTTGCTCGAGCGGGCCCAGTAATGTCTCCATCGTGAGACTTGTTGTTACTATGTTTGGAATATTGAATACGTCACGGGTAGCTTGCCAGGCTTTGCCATGCGGGCGAGGTACTCTCGGTAGCTTGCAGGGCTCTCCGAGAGGGGTGGAGAAATCAAACCTGTCTCAACCAGGCTGGGCCACGAGCAAGGCAAACGCCCTACTGCTGTGCTATCGCACCAGCCCAAAACAAACAATAACAGCAACAAAATGGAAATAGGCCAAACAGACAGCACAGCAGGTAAGGTGCTTGCCTTGCACACAGATAACCTGGGTTTGATCCCTGTAAGCACATATGGTCCTCAGAGCATTCCAAGAGTGATCCATGAGCATGGAGCCAGAAGGAATTCCTTAACACAGCTGAGTGTGGCCGCTAAACCATGCAAACCAAAATCAAAACCCTGGGGTAGTGATGGACCCTGCTCAGTCACTGCAGGGGTCCATCTCCTTCATTTGGGAGAGCTGACATGAT